TCTATTCCTCACTTTTCTACTCGATTGCGCCGTGATAATCTGCGTGAGAATTAAACGCAAGGTTAGTGGCAATGAAATGGCAATGAATTTCTGTACCAGCTGAGTGATTTGGGTAGGCGCAGTTAAGAAATTCAGTCTTTCCATACCTCTTCGTGAATAGCAATGTGCGTTTCGCATGTTTGAGAGACTCGCCGAGCGTACTGCTGTTTTTCTAGAGCTTCCACGAAAAACGCTAATCTATCAGAATCGTGATATCCTGCGTGCTTTCGACATCACGAGGAATCCAGTCATTAACGGTCGTTGTCCACGACGTCGAGCATCTCATATAATATCTTGAGTTGTGAAACGACATTGTGAATATCTGATCGACTTAGGTCGGAAGCTTCCGATTCTACTCTTAACACGTGACGTGTGCTAGCTTACGAAAGATTTCCATGCAATGCGTTGAGGACACCATAGCTTTCTGGAGTCTTCTATAACAGCTTCTTTTCAGCTGAATCAAAGTGGCTGTTCAAACCGATGGAAGTGAGGCAGAGCGATTGCATAGACTAGGAAAGTTTCTCAACAACCGCTGAGAATTTGAAGTACTTACTTGAATTCTACTGGAACAGCAATAATTATCCTTCAAAATAGAGACCGTTATTCAATTTTCTGTCAACGATTTGAAAGCTTTCGTATTTGCTCGAGACACGCCATTCTTTGGGCACTGAATCAAAAAACTCCTAACATGCTTCGTCAACTTGATCAAATGTCTAGAATCTGAGTTTACGCAGAAAATGTTCCACTATCGGAAGAGACCATAATTAGGCGGTGTTGAATCTGGGTTGTTTGCTGAGTGCGGTAAGGCCTCGACTCTCTCTACTGATCAAACTTTTCCCTAGTTTTCTTTGCGGTTTGAGATTTGGCACTGTCCTGCCAAAGCATGCGCGCGCTTTCAACGAAGCGGTGTCGAGTACGTTTCCTTCAAAGCATCGTAGACTCGATCACAGCTGTGCCGTGGGAGTTTGTTAAGGTATTCTTGAAATGTTTCCATGGATTTACAATAACCGAAACTGCATGGAAAGAATCGTAAAATTTGAATTTTTCGCGAGGGTAGCAAATTTTTCTCAATCTAACTGTCATGATACTCTGAGTTTTTATTGCGATAACGTGATCTGCGACATCTAACCCCTTTCGAATCTAATCATTCTTACGTGGCTCATTTCGAGTCGTCCTGTAGTCGACGGATACTGCTCAAAATGCTTCAAGAGAACGACAAAGAGCGCGTAGATTAAGCGACAGCTTGTCGTGGCCACTTTTTAAATAATAACATGCCGCTACTGCTTTCCATTTTTAAGTCCATGTTTTTGACAGGTAACCAAGAGCCAGTCATGTTTAGTAAACTTTGGAATACTCTGTTAGCGCCAGTACGTATGCCATGTAGCATGCCATGTACGAAGCAGTCGTTGTCCGATTTGAAGAGCTGTAGGCAAAGAACTAGTCACGGACGATTTCACAGATTGTTCCTCTAGATGCTGTAAGTGTTTACCTTGCCGTCGGGGTGCAATCGTCTTGGTTTTCGTAAGTGGCAAAATTTCGATGGGCTTTGCTAATATTCTTCCCAGCTTGTGCAAATTCGGCCAAAACTGCTGCTCATCTTTCCTTAAAATCTTTTTGTCGCCCTTCTGATGTGTTTCGTAAGTGTAACGTGAGTTGATGCAATTCCTCGGCGTTATTTCAGGTCGAGAAAATTTGGAGGCAAAATTCTGTGCTGACTTTCAACTCTCAGTTTCATTCCGTTAGCATGAATATACTAAGTTGCCCGGTCACTTTCCTCGTTAATACTATCAGGAAAGGAGCCTTTCCAAGAGCAAACCATTGATCTTGCTGAAGCGAAATTCATGTCGATTTGGAATCTTTTTTCACACTCAACGACTTCTCTTCTCTTTTGCAAAAAGTAAATCATTCGCCAAAAATCTATGACCCAGTAGTATGTGAAATTTCAAGACAGCAATTTTATGGTTGGGAAAAACCTTCGATTTGCCATAAAATAGCCTGTTCGTGAAGGCACCCACTGGTGAACAACTTCCGAGCGTTGGTAACAAAGCTTTGGGATATTGAGTTACCATAAATGTTATGATAATTATGACCATCACAGACATTTGTTCACTCTGCTTATCCTATCCAATTCATAAGTCTTCCTGCGAAATTTGAACGCATGTGTTCAGTGATTAGAGCTGCTCTGCGTCGCGCACAAGGCCGTTGGTCCAATCTCGCGTTCATGGCTCACCAAGCCATCCATCACTCCAGGTCGGTATTTGGTACCAGACCGGTCTTAGACTTGTCTGGGACTATGGGTAGCACTGACACGATACAGAGGGAGACCACCGCGAATCATTGTAAAGACCAGATGAGCATTCAATCACCTCAAATGAAGTTAAAAATTAGAGACAGATGTATGGCACATCCCTCAAGGATTGAAGAACGCCAGAGAGTTTTATCCATTGTCCTTACTGTGACATTACCAGGAGTTCTCCTCTGCCCAGTATTTGCAAAATATCTGAATTGAGGACCTCGAAGAATTGTGTCTTCTCTCCACCACATTTCTGCCTTAACCGCTGAAGGCTCTTTATAAGAAAATTCGCAGTGGTATTTATGAATATTATAAAACCCTGCTTAGTATGTCTTTTCGAACAGCATGAAATCGCAACAACTCTATACGTAGTCGTTCCTCTTCGCCGTGATGTTCGTCTTCGTTCTCATCGATCCAACTAAGTTCTTACTTTTGCTCAGATCACCAAAGAATATGTGGTCAGTTCGTAACGCCAAAGTTAAAGAAAAATCGGTTTCCCATTATTATCACTCAGTGTGCCAGCGAACACCGACTTCTGCAGTATGGACTGTTTACTAATAAACAAAATAATATCAACACTCAATCATTGAAATCAACAACCGTCCCGTACACCAAGAACACTGCTGAATGAGTTTATTATTTGAGCGATGTTCCTCTACGAAATATACGCGTTGAACAGCAACGAAGACAAACCACCAAACAAACGCGAACGACTGTGGAGCATCGGCTTGGATCAATGGACTCTGAAGAACACGAGACTCGTCGAAACGTTTTACAACAACTTCCTGCTCTTACTTGATCACAAGAAATATGAGATTGTGATATATGATGCCAAATCAAAGGGATGTCGGTTTTCCGAGTATGAAGACACTTTCACCTCCTTGAGGATATCATTTTCTCACGGCTACCACGAACAATTATGTCGATAGGGACAGGATGTGCATTGTGACAGTATCAGCGTATATGGATTGTTGCATGAGGATTGCCATTAAATTTATTAGTTGCAAAATGGCAATTTTGTACTGCCTTGGTTGATACCATTTACATACCGATTTCGCGTTAAGTACATATCGATCAATAAACAAATCTTTCTAACATGAATTTCATACGAAAACTTTCATTCAGCTGCGGTTTTACGACGTTCGTTTTTGTTAGAGCCGGTTTCATTGATGATTCTACAAGTGGTTGTTTTCATAACGAAGGTGTTCGTAGTCTAACAAGGTGGAATACAATAAACTAGAATATCATCGCTCGAATGAATCCCTCTCAACAGGCATGGCTCTGTTACGAGGAACAAATGCTGATCTATTGCCATTCAAAATCTTCGGGTTTTTTCGGTGACGTCGACACCCGCACTGAGCAGCTTCATAGTTAAATGGCACAAAGCGTAACAGCACATTTGATTTTGACATGCCTTCGACATCTGTATGATCAGTTAAAAAACTTTCTTGAACCTAAACACTAGCTGAAACGCGTCGGAAGCTTAGTGCTTAGCAGATTCTCAACCTAGTAAGCGTAGTAAGGGGTTATTTTTAGAACCAATTTATAATGTACGATATGCGAGAAGCAGTTCTTGTCACAATATCGTTCACCGATTGAAGAGGAGTTGGACACTTCCGCTTGATAATATCCATCTAATTATAATCGCTTGCTCAATCACACTAACCATACCATCTCCGTTTGACGACAGTCTAGTAATTCAAATCCAACGGAAACATAGTGTTATGATATGTAGGAATCATTCATAATTTTTTTTTGCTGGAACTATAGATTCCTTCTAACCTAAGTAGAATAAGAGTTAGCGATTCAAGAAAAGGTTTGTTTCTCAAATTTGGTTCAATGAAAAGCTTTGTGTCTTGATGTAATAACTTTCATAAGCCCGATAGTGTCTTCTCAAGTGCCGCTGAACGAAAAAGACGCCGCATGAATGCGCTTTTTCAAACAGGTAAGATGTTCAGCTAACCATCGAAGTGGTTAGGATTATCAAAACCCGTGTCAACGGATTTGCCTCACGTCTATTGCAGGCACTGTGCCAAAACGCGGTAATGTTTTACTACGCAATTAATGATAATTATATTCAATACTAGTCAAAAGCAAATGGGCCATATTCTTCAGTGAAAACATTCAGTGGGATTTGTGTCATGCGTTGGATGGGTGAGTGCAATAATAATTCATTTATGCATCACTTTATGGGTGAATTTGGTAGAAAGCTTGCATTGAAATCATGGGAAATCCCAATATGAGAAAGATTAGAAATGCACAGATCTGGATATACTTGAAAAAGAATACTGAAGTATCAATAATCAATCAGCATTCTTTTTATCTGACCGCCTTTAGAAGTGGTAAGGATGTTATAATATACCCAATGATGAAGAGGTGCAAAAACTTTGCGCCAGCTGGGATTCGAACACACATTTCACCCTATCCGAGGGCGCGTGCTGAACCGCGTTGCAAATGCTTTGCACATCACTCTTTATCACTGGGTATAATATAACATCTTATCACCAGTAAACGCGGTCAAACAGAAAGAATTTTGACTAATTATTGATAACCATTATATTTAGCTTAAATGGGTTCAATGTCGATAGTGACTACCCACGCCAGACCGCTGACGATTGGCTGTTGACAGATAAGGCGTTGTAGCGTAGAAAGAGTGGTGTCAAAACGCGCGCCGGTAGTGCAACGGTTCAGCACGCGCCCCCGGAAAGGGTGAAATATGGGTTCGTATCCCAGATGACGCAAATGTTTTTACACACTACTCTCTGTTATTGAGCAGAGTACTGAAGTCTTCTGAATTCCTGTTATTCCCATCTCGATGTACAACGGCTGGTGTGACTTTTTGCCACCCCAACCACTTTCATCGCTTACATTGGAGACTTCTGCTATTTGCAATCTTTTGCATTAGTAATAATAATTACATGAAAGAATAAGGCCGTTCTTTATTAGTGTAACTGACATCACAATGGAACTGTTCCAAAAAATAGAGATTTTCCGTGAGATTTCACTCTAAGTAGGGCATGAACAAAATCGGACATTTTGTCTACTTGATTTTTCTCGATGTCGGTCTGGAAAAGATAAAAAAAACGGCTTTTCTTCCGACAACTATTTTTCGAGCTAACTTGTCATGTGGTCTTTCATAAGCGCTTATAGAGCCCAATACACGTGTTTCGGACTTGACAACCTCGTCACTGGGGCACTACCCTTCGTCTCAGCCAACCCTTTCGAGAGAGCTCCACTCTCCTACATGAAATAGGACGACGTTGTTAAATTTACACGTGCCGTCAACTGAACTAGATCACTGGATTGCCAGTGTCGCACACTCAATTGCTCTTGGCTGGTATTTATGAAATAATATAACGTTCGTTCCGAGTTTTTTCTAAATTGTGCTCAGAATTTCATTGTACCTGAGAATTATTTTTGAATCAACATGCCATGTGGTCTTTTATGGGCACTTGTAGAAACCATTGCACATGTTTTGGCCTTGACAGCCTCGTCAGCTTCTCTTTCTGTTTTAGCAATGTGTTTTTTGCATCAGTTCGATGAATTGATTTGTTGTTTAGTCAGGCATAGCTTGTTAGCTAAGTTTTATACAAAACTCGCTAACTTGCAGCTTCATCATCGTTCTGTTCCACTTTCGACTCTCTCAAATCGGTATCAAGACGGAATTTGCCCATCACATCACATAGGGGCGAACAAACGTGCAGGGATTCACTATTGTGTACTACAGCGTGGAACGCTCATGAAGAAAATAAAGATCTTATTATTATGATGATCCTTTTTATAGGGCGCTTTGATTAGTATTTTGATGATATTGCGATGATGTTTTTATGATAAATATTGAAATCGGAAAGATCGTAGAGAGAAAATACACGCTGCATAGCACGATTTCGTATTCAACGGGAAGTATTATTTGATTCGGACATCGATCATAGTCGATTCATTGTCAGTCTTTGCGAACTCACATGCCATTTGAAACATCTACCTTCTATTTTCTCCGGTATCGATGAATAACCGAATTCGTTTTCACAAACGTTTTTGTGATATAGTCTGATAGAATGTTTTGAGTATTTCAAATGGTCTGCCATGGTATCTCGAGTGGTATAAGTACGTTTCGGCGTATTCTCGCGCGCCTCATTGAATCCACATACCCTGCAGCTTACCTCTGCTACTATTAGCAAACGTTGCAGAAAATTGCCACTCGAGACGAAGCGAAAAATGTTACTTGATTCTGCGGTCTATGGTGGTTAATTGTCTGTGGCATACGGCTGTTAAGCAAGCATATAATATACCTCCAATCAAGTGATTGAGCACCTCTCTCAAAACCTCAGTTTATTCTGATGTAATCCTCTGAGTTTTTCAAGAAGTGTGCCTTTGAGCTTTCAAAGAGGTCTTCTTGTCGAGCTAGCACATGCTTCTCAACGGACATTTCCAATGGCCAATGTTTCGGTGACTTTACTGTACGCAATTCGCGTCCTACAATCTTAATGAAAAAATCCTACACACACTTCATTTGACGAAAAGGCATTGATTTCTTTCCGATTTGATGTTCAATCAGCTCATCCATACGGTGCTCACAATAAGAGAATGGGCTGAAGCTTACAAAGCGGGAAACTGGGCTAAAGAGATAATAATACGGTTCAAATCACTAGTGAGAGTGAAACTGCGTCCTTTTTGATTAATCGAAAGACCGTTTTTCTTCTATTTTCGGCCAGACTAAATATTCCGCTGTCGATGCATAGTTTACTCGCCTTTGTTACAAACAACGAGTTTAAGGTACGCATATATTTTTGGCTAATTATAAGTGGGAATCGGTGCAAACTGGCTGTCCTTTCAAGGTACAAAAGTTTGTAGAAATCCATGATACGCTTTATCTGCTAATAAACAAACCTTTCAATATAACTAGACAAATAAACAAGAACAAATCGAAGTTAAAGTGTTTTAAGGCTTCCAGATCAACCCAAAAATCTTATCGTGCACATATTTCGCATTTTCTATGTGATTTATTTTTCCGGCGCATTGCAATCCTTCTATTATGAATTTAACTGTAGATCAGAGGCCCATCATATTTTCTCGAAGTATTTCCTTCAGATTTGCTGCTCTACTAGATTGAATCCTGTTGTTTGCATTCATCAGCTACTTCAGCAAACAATTTCCCTAGCAAACAAGTAAATGACAGATTGGAGAATGTCAACCGATTTCGTTGAGATAGTTAGAAAATGGAAATTAAAATTTTCTGATTTATGAAGAACATCTATCTATGTACGATTTGCTGTAAACAAAATTGGACAATTCAGTGAATGCTTATATCGAACATTTATTTTGGACAAACATATGGCTTCCTTCAGACACTATTCTAACGATACAATTAGCTTTATTGGAAGTACACTGCTCGTCTGCAATTCGATTACCTAATTGCTTACAATCATTTTAACTTTTTGGCTGACCTTTAACAGTTTTTTAACTGGTCTCCGTATTTAACGACGTGACATCACTGAAAACGACATATGAAGTGTGTAAAGAATTTGACGCGTTAACTCGCTTCAAATAATAAAACAAGTTACCTCAGCGTATCGTCGAGAGGATCTTTAGGAGGCGATGCAACTGGAGTGCTAACCAGTGGCTTAGGTCAATGAAAAGATTTATCATCACATCGATTTTTCTCAACTGTTCATCAATGAGACTGCAACATAGATAAGTTGGCAAGTGATTTGTGTTCTACACAAAGTGTAGAGAACGAGTAGCGAGGTGGTGACGATGCAGTGATGTTCTTCATGACAAGAATGGAGCTTGTTCAATGTCCTGCGGGATCGCCACGCCCTCCATTCATCTCAAACGGAAATTTGCTGCGAGAGACTTCTCTGGGCTCACCTCACTCCACAAATCTGCTCGACAACGCTCGATTACAACTATCCGAAGACTCAAGAGAAAATTGACTCAATCACTCTTATGTCCAGAGACCTTCCATGATGGATCCGAGATGACGAGTCCAATGGCGGAAGCGCAGAGATTTGTATACTTGTGAAGATGAATTACGTAAAAAAAAAGATCTAAGGAGCGCACAAAAATTTATCAGGTGAAAGTTGCTTGCGAAGCGATCTTTTACTATTGGAAGCTTATGAGAATTTGAGAGAAGTATGACGAATGAGAATTTAATTTATTATAAGAGCACCTCTGTTACTTTATTGACACCCAGCTCACGCACTAGCTGACAAACAAATGCATCGGGTATGTAGAAGTCGATCTTATTTTCCATGCTGCAGTGCGGTGCGACGGTCTCTCTAAAAATAAGCACGGAGTAGGAATTATTGGAACCTGCACTATCGAATGGTCATTTTCGTTTTGAGGAAAATTTTTAACCTTTCGAGAAATCATGCGTATGTGTAACACAAATGTTTTCTTTCTCTCTGCAGCGTTGCAAAGAGCTTTTTCTAGAAAAAGGTTATGTAGCGCAAGAGCCAGAGATATAGGCTTTCGGATGACTACTGAGAATGCAATGGGAAATTTTGTCCAGCGGAATCGGTCATTTCTTTATTTGTCTCGCATAACCGAAAAGAAGTAATATTCGTTACTACATTGAATTACAATCCAAATGTGCCGGTTTTTCTTGGAACAACAGACCAAATGACGGTACAATACCGATTTCAATTGTCATTTAATTTTAATCTACTCGGAACAGTAGTGCTGGTTTTGTAAACCATATTCATAGCATCAGTTTTCTGAAAAGGAAAATTTCTGAATGGCGTGTCACGTCTGCGTCGCGAACTTCTTTTTCTGATAAGCTAATTATGATTCATCGTCACAATGCAACTGAAGTTACATTCTTTATAGGCAGCGCAATACGTGCATCACTGCCACTGAGAACTAAAAGGAAACCAATAAGCGCAACAGAAGTCGAAACGAGCAACCAAATGAAATTGCCTTTTCATCAAACTCGAAGGATTAGCTCAAATATAGAAAAACTATTATTGATTTGTAATGCCAAAGCTTAAAGGAAGGAGGTTTGAAAGAATTATTAACCATTACCTTATTGCTTGTAATATGATTGCAGTATGAGGTGTTGAGGGGGTGATGGACTGACAGGATTACAAGCCGTCATAAGAATCCCAGTTCGCGTGGAAGGAATCGAGTTGCAAGGTTATATACTTCACTATAAAGGTATACCATTACATATGGTTGCGCGTGAAAATAGTGTAGTTCGACTATCTCAGGATGCTGTGGAAAGTCAGACTTAAGCAACTTTTAGTGCATCAATGAGGATAGTCCCGTTCTTGCGTCGCAGCTGGAGTCAAAACTTACTCTATCATTAGTACTAATAACGGTTCAAGGTACTCACGTTTGATTATTACATGTATAAGCCGATGTCGTTTTTTCACTATGTTGCAGCTTTTTCTTGTAAACCCAAAGCGGGATGTTATGCTGCAATTTGTATTGATAGATGACTTTTTGGCAGTTCGCTTTCTGAACCACGAAAGTGCCCACAACCCAATCAGCCGAGCATTTTCATTACTTCAGCAAAATAAATCAACAAACCTAGATTCTAGTCACATTGAAATCAGTCAACTTTTCAACTTATTCGTCTCCCTTTATGAATCCACCATTGAGGTGTCCAGTGGACCAAATGCGCAGAAATCACATGGACTGCCAGTGGGCATCTCACATCAAAATAACAATCGTATATTATGTGCCACATCTTGGAATTTCGAGGTTCTTCCAGAGTTCTTTCAAAATTTCACGCTTTAAG